ATACACACCGAGTCGCCCTGTAAAGCGTATCTCCAAATAATTACCCCAAACCAAACCAGAATCCATCTTTTTGGTCACTCAGACTTGGACAAATGGTTTACATGGAATAATACAACATGGCTACATAACACAATATCTCGGTGTGATCGTGCGTGCATGTTTGTATGTAGTTGTGAGCTTGGGGTGCGTGTTGTGTGTGAGTTAGGGGTGTGTGTGTGTGTTATAAATTTGTGTGTGGAGTAGGGGTAGGATGGTGCGGTGTGAGCATAAATGCGTGTGATTGTAAAGCGCGTGTGTGTGTGACCAGTTTGTGTGTGTGAGTATGAGCTTGGCGTGTATTGATCGGCAAGTACATTGTGTGTTTGGCACCTGGTTTGCAGAGGTCTACAGGGGAACATTTACTGAACTGCAGATAACAGCTGTCTGGTTGGTTAAGTGTGAAAAACACTTCTTGTAGTGAAGCCTGTCTACTCACCCAATTCTTACTAAAAGCAAAAATACAAACATTTCTGCAGAAAACACAATGTCACAGGGCTGTAGGGCTGCCCTGCTGATTCTGTGGTTTATTATTGTCTGCCGTTTCGTGAGTTAAACCACAGGAAAAATACGTAGAAAATGCTCAGTTTGGTTTCTGAACGGCTCAGTGAGTTTGTTCTATAATAATAATCTTTGCATTGGATTTCATGCCAGCGTTTTGCCTCAAACAATTTCATGGGATTTAGTGTAAAATGACTGACTGTATTTGTACGCAAATGTGGCAGCCAATTTGTTCACAGCAATGTCCCACAAACAGCCACGAAGTGAATAATCAATTTTATTCGGGGGATTGTTAGCCAGGGCACGGGAAGAAACACCCTTCTCTTTTTGAATAGTGCCATTGGGGGGGGGGGGGGGAAATTTACGTCTACTTAAACAGGCAGACAGGATCTCGGTTTAATATCTCATCCAAAGGATGACACCACCACCAAATAAATAAATAATAATTTGGTCAATCAATCCACGACTGTCGGTGGGACGCTGCTACGCCCAATTGGCTGCCACGTTTCACCCACAAAATATCAATTCACTTTACAGTATATGCCGTGAAGCACTTTGTGACGTCTCGAAGACGTGATAAGGCACTATATCAAATGCAAGGATTAGTAATATTGTTATAATGCACCGGAGCATCAGTTTGGAGTAAGCTTGGAGCCCCGACTTGGGGCTTGAACCTGTAACCCTCTGAGTTCAAGACGAGAGTTCTACCGACTGAGCTGCCAACGCTGCCTTTAATGCCTTGTAATTATTTCACACAATAAAAAGGTATTTCATCAACCTGTAATAACCCAACACTGATCTTTGATCACTTCAGCAAACGGTCAGCACTGTAAGCGTTACAATGCGGCTCCATATCGCAATATCCTGCTGTCTTTGTGTGTGTGTGTGTGCGTGTGCGCGTGTGTGTGTGTGTGCGCGTGTGTGTGTATGATAGAGCATGTCTGCGCTTGTGTGTGTGAACATGTATGTAAATACATGTGTGCGCGCGAGTGTGCACGACCAGACGTCTGTGTGAGACATCAGTTCCTTGAGACACCCTTCTAATGTGAAAGCCCTACACAATGTTATTGGTCACTGTTGTGTGTGTGTGTGCGCGCAAGTGCGCAGGCGTCGTTGAGAATGAGTTTAATGCTCAGCAAATGGGTCAGCTCATTGCATCAAACACTCGTGACTCAAACCTCAGCCACGATTGTGGGAAGGTCACTGTCTCTGACTGCCACCACCACTGATTGCCCTGTTGTAATTAGAATGACCCCAGTTCCTGTGAAAGACAGGTAAACGTTCTGGCTTCAGTAGCTCCGTCAGCAGCCAACTAAACTCAGCCAGAACATCAAAGAACAAAAAAGACTTTGCTACCCTTTTAAAATACATTTGTACCTTTGAAATATCTTGTTGAATCCATCTCCATTTCTTTAATTGCTTTTTAGTTCCGCAGCCGAGTTTGAGAAAATGATCTCATAATCTCCCCTCAGGATCTTCCAAAAGCAAACAGATGGAAAGAAGGGAAAAGATTGGAATTGCTGCTCTTTGTTGGAGCAGTGGGAATGTTCGCAGGCAGAATGGTAGATGTTTACAGGTCACAGCCCAGGGGAAAGGACCAGGGTTTGTGCCTCAGAGCAGCTTAAACAAATCACCAGGACAGCCCCCACGGTGTCGTAGATAGGGCTGCAGGTTGGGCCTATCCACTGCGGCTCACTGGTTTGAATGTGCAATTGGCTGCCGCGTTTCGTCCACAAAATATAGTCAGTTCACTTTACAGTATACGCTGTGAAGCGCTTTGAGACGTCTCGAAGACATGATGAGGCGCTATGTCAAATGTAATTATTGTTATTTGAATCCAGGTCCTTTCGGAGTTTGCTGGTCTCAGAGGCTGAATTGGTTCTGGCCTTGCTAGGAATTGAGAGGGGAAAACCAGCCAGGGTTCCCGCTCCAGGATGCCCAGAGCACCCTCCACTGGTTGTGTGTGTGTGTGTGTGTGGTGGGGGGGGTGGGGGGGGGGGGGGGCAGTAGTGGGGAAGTAGAGATCAGGCTCGGCTGTGACGTCCTCTAGAGTCGAGTCACATGCCCGCACTTATCAACAACAACTTGCCTTTATACAGCGCGCTCACACAGGGTAGTGTCCCGGAGCACTTGATCACATACATACATGCTCACACAGACTTACTGCGTTCGCCCACAAATATACAGTCACTTCACTTTACAGTGTGTTCTGTGAAGCGCTTTGGGACGTCCTCCCGACGTGAAAAGCGCTATATCAAATGCAAGGATTATTATTATTATTATTACAATGGCCACTTGCAGCAGAGAGCACCAATTGGCTTCTGCCTTTGCCCACCAAAAAGCAGTCACATCACTTTACTGTACATCCTGTGAAGCGCTTTGAGACTTCTCAACAACATGATAAGGTGCTGTATCAAATGCAAGGATTGTTATAGGATTATTAATTTCCACTACTATACAGTAATAATAATAATACTTGCATTCGATATAACATCTTTCACATCAGGAGAATGAGAATTTACTATCAGTAATTAGTATGAGGATTTACTGTGCGATTGTAGGTGAATGCAGAAGCCAATTTGCACACAAGAATATCCATTGGCCTGGACACCAGGAAAAAATTCCATTCTCTTTTTTGAATATGCCTACAGGATGTTTAACAACCATCTAAACAGGCACAGGTGGGACCTTGATTTAACGTCTCATCCAAAAACCGACACGGCCAACAGTGCAGCACTCCCCCAACGTGGTAATGGAGCGTCAGCCTTTGTGAACAGAAAGTCTCAACTCGCGGTTTGAACTCATAACCTTCTGACTCAGAGGCAAGAGTGCTGCCAACTGAACCAGGTTGACCCAGTCTATGGGTGAACTGAAGCAATGAGCTCGGGTGGCATGTAATAATAATAATCCTTGCATTTTATATGGAGCTTTTCATGTTTTTTGGACGTCTCAAAGCGCTTCACAGAATATACTGTAAAGTGAATTGACTGTATATTGCGCATAGCAGTGTCCCACAAACAGTTGTGGAATGAAGTGACCAATTTTATTATTGTTTTTTTTTCTTCAGGGTTTATTATCAGGCGTGTGGAGTAAGGAAACTTACCCAAGGTTTTGCCCTGTCTGGAATCAAACCCAGGTCTCTTGCTTGCGAGGCAAGTGCTCTAGCCACTGAGCTACAGGTCTCCACAAAGGAGGAACAAACAGCAAGTTTAATAGAAATAAATGAACGAGGATTAATCTTAGTGCCATATCTCATGCAAATACATGGTTATGCAAAGGACTTGGCAAATGAGTTGGATTTGAAACAAAAGCAATACGAGAAATCAGTATTATGGTTCCTCATGAGGGATTGGCATTTCAGCAATTGCTTTTGAATTCAAAACACAATACAATACTTCCATTGTAGTCTTAATCTTGAGCTGTCTTTTCCTCATTTTCGAGAAAAGAAGGCTTGTTATTATTGCAACCAATGTATACAAAAACGGCGGGATTGAGCGCTCAACGGTAGATGTACATAGGGGTCAATCCAGGGGAAAGCACCAGGGTTAGTGCAGCTTGAAAACATCACCAGGGCACCCCCCGTGGTGTAGTGGATAGGGCTGCAACTTATGGATAGGAGTTGACTAGTTCGAATCCCAGTCCGTATGACACCCTGGTCTTATCTGGGGCTGTACAGGAGGCTAAATTGGTTCCAGCCTTGCTAGGAATAGTGAGGGGAATGTGTGTGTGTGTGGCAGCCGGATGGGGAGAGGTCAGGCTTGGCTGTGACACCCTCAACAGTCTGGTGGTCTGTCGATACTCCTTGCCAAGACACATGAGCAATGGTGAGGTGGAGAGTTCCGCATTTCATATGGTCCTTATAAGATCAAAACATTAGTGGCAGGGCGAAACCTTGGGCAAGTTTCCTTACTCCACACGCCTGATAATAAACCCTGAAGAAAAAAAAACAATAATAAAATTGGTCACTTCATTCCACACCTGTTTGTGGGACATTGCTATGGCAATATACAGTCAATTCACTTTACATGTAATAATATTATTATATGCCACCCAAGCTCATTGTGTGACTCTTCAATCTACAAATCCTGTTTCCAGTCCTCCCTTGCAAATAGTTCAAGGTGTGTCTATTCATCTCCCCCCACCCCTCACCCCCCAAGGCTGGGATTGCGTGCTTGTGGCCAGCAGGGCGAGCGGGAATGACGCTCACTGAGTTGCTGTCTCCCACAACCCCACTGTGGTTGAATCAGCAGTTGGCAATCCTGCGGGAATAATAGACCCTCGGAGGGGAGTGGGGGAATAGCGCAGAGCAACCTCACCCCAGTTGAACTAAAGAAAATTGAGCGGGTAAGGGAGGCGTTTGGGAGAGGGTGAAAAAAAGGTCACGTTTCTTCAAGGTCAAATGATGGCACATCATAAAAATGCAATAGTTGCTTCATCTCAACTGATTTGTGTGTTCAATATAGGATTTGGTGAGTATTGTTCTGTCGAAAGAGGATGATTCAACAGAAGAAACACCTTGGCAGAGCTCCCTCCAGACCGATGCCAGATACCTGTTCCTGGAAATTGGGTGTGGATCAGGTGCTATAACAATGTGTTTACTTCAACATTTCAAGCAAGTGAGTTTTGCCACGTTCCTCATTGACGACTCAAAATGTTTTATATCATTAGAGACATAGAAATGTTGCCATCTCATCACTTGTTTATTCTAACTATTAAAATCATTGTGGTTCATTTCATTATCCCGATTCTTTTCCCCACCCACTTCCATTATTGCAGTTGAATTTTGTAAACTTCTTTCATGTTGTTGAATATCTCGGTTAGCATTTGGACGAGTTTCTGTGTGAGAGCTGAATTAATGTGTTCTGGTGGAGTTAGTCTCCCCAGCTCCACCATACTCCACATTCAATTAATCCCAAACTCTGCCGCCCAGTTACTCACCTGCACAAAACTCTGTACCCCCATCACACCAGCCTTTGCCAGGTTCCCAATTACTGAACGGATCGATTTCAAGATCCTCTCACTCATTTTCAAATCCCTTCAGGTTCTCGCACCTCCCTACCTATCTGATTTGCTTACCCCCCACCCGCTGCTTCTGGCCTCCTGTTTGTCCCTCTTGCCCTCCGCTCCACCATCGGTGGCCGTGCCTTCAGCCACTATGCCCCAAAACTCTGGAACTCTATCCCTCAATCTCTCCGCCTTGCCCCCTCCCTCTCCACCTTCAAATCCCGCCTAAAGACCTTCCTTTTTGATCGTGCCTATGGTCACGTCCCTCTCCCCCTGGCTCGTTGACAGGCTCTGCCACTGTCAAGCGCTCCAGGACACTGCCCCACATGAAGGTCGCTATATAAATGCAAATTGTTGTTGTTTGTTGAGTTGCAGCCAGTTTCCTCATACTGTCAGGTTCTAAATTCATTCCAAGTGACAGTGCCAGCTCTTAGCATTTAAACAAATTTACTCCAATTCCAAAAAAAAGCATTCAACATCACCACAGAGATAAAGAAAGATCATCTGAAATTTTTTTTAACAACTATTAGCATTTATATAACACCCCTCACGCAGGGTAGCATCCCAGATCAAATTTACTTTAGAAAGTAACACAGTATTTCTTTGGTTTATAACCTATTTGTAGAAAAATTTTGGCAGCGATTTGACCCGACCAGTTTTCAGGACGTGCCTTTCCGAAAAGCTGAACTGTACTGAAAGCTTGACTGCGAGCCCTTGAACTTTCACCTTTTCCTCCCTGAGCTAGCCAGCATTTCTGTTACAAAATCCATTTCTGGTAAAGGGGAATGTGAAGTTCTAGGAATAAGCTGGCGCTTTCAACGTCAGTGAAAGGCAGCCGTGTTGGCAGACGAGTAGGTTTGGTGCTTACACCAGATGTTCAACATCTGGCTGACTCGCTTCGTTACGACTTGGTTGTTTTTGTATTTTTATTGCTACTTAAAGGCTCGTATGAAGGGGTCTAATTTGAAGTATTTTTTAACCACGGGGATCAACAGCAGCTTGTATGTATACAACGCCTTGGGTTTTGCGAAAAGTCTCAAAACGCTTCGCAAAGACTGGGTGGGAGAAAGCAAGGGGGTAGCGGTGGTGGAGGTCAGAGACGTAATTAAAGAGAGTTTTTTAGATGGGTTTTGAAAGCGGGGAGGGAGGGGTTTGGGGAAAGTGGCAAAAAGGGCAGGGCAAAGAGCCAGAAAGCTTGACATGATGGTGGGGGGGTGGTGGTGGCACGTGAAGGGGGTCTGAGTAATAACCCAGGAGATGGCAGAGGTTGGTAAAGTGGGGCAATGGAAGGTTTGCACAAGAATCTTGAAGTCAGTCTGCTGGGCAATAGGAAGCCAGCTGAACCTGGTGAGGACAGGGGATAATTCCTCAGGAAGGAATGCAGGTCATGCAAATGGGAGCGAGTCCATTTAGGAATCAGTTGAGAAATACCACAAATTAGAGCCCAGGGTATTAGCACCAGGCACTGTGTAGCAGCACTGAAATCTAGCAATCGAACGTATTCACAGGGTTAGAAATCCCACCCAGATTTACTTTGCTTAACATTTCAGATGAATCGAGAATTTGGTAAATTCGGAAACAGCTTCGAGTCAATCTAGACTGGTGAGATTTCCACCTCTAGGGTCTTTCGATGTCTCCAGATTCATAGAGTCATAGAATTATACAACACAGAAGGAGGTCATTTGGACCACCATGTCTGTGTCGGCTCTTTGAAAATAGCTATCCAAATCAATCCCACTCCCCCACGCTCTCCCCATAGCCCTGCAAACTTGTCCTCCCAAAATAATTATCTACTCTCTTTTAGAGTTGTTATCAAATTGGCTTCCACCACCCTTTCAAGCAATGCATTCCAGATCCGAACAACTCGCTGTGTGAAAAAATTTCTCCTCACCTCCCCTCTGTTTCTTTTAACAACTATTTTAAATTGGTGTCCTCGGGTTACTGACCCACCCACCGGTGGAAATAGTTTCTCCTTGTTCACCCTATCGAACCCCTCATAATTTTGAAAACTTCTATTAAATCTCTTCGTAACCTTCTCTGCTCCAAGGAGAATAACCCTAACTTCTCTCGCCTGATAACTGAAGTCCCTCATTCCTGGTACCATCCTGGTAAATCTCCTTTGCACCCTGTCCAATGCCTTGACATCCTTCCTAAAGTGTGGTGCCCAGAACTGAACACAGTCTCTAACTGAGGCCTAACCAGTGTTTTATAAAGATTCATCATAACTTCCTGACTTTTGTATTCTATGCCCCTGTTTATAAAACTAAGTATCCCGTATGCTTTTTTAACAGCTTTATCTGCCTGTCCTGCCACCTTCAAAGATTTACTTATATGAGCCCCAGGTCTCTCTGTTCCTTCACCCCCTTTAAGATTGTACCATCATCGTATATTGCCTCTCCTAATTCTTCCTCCTAAAATGCATCACTTCACATTTATCCACATTAAACTTCATCTGCCACGTGTCTGCCCATTATACCAGTCTGTCTATGTCCTCTTCCAGTCTGCTACTATCCTCCTCACTGTTTACTACTTTCCCTAGCTTAGCATCATCTGCAAACTTGGAAATTATACTCCCCTGTACCCAAGTCCAGGTCATTTATATAGATCAAAAAGAGCAGTGGTCCCAATATCGACCCCTGGGAGACACCACTGCACACTTCGCTCCAGTCAGAAAAACACCGTTCACCACCACTCTCCGCTTTCTGTCTCCCAGCCAGTTCTGTATCCACGCTGCCACTGTCCCTTTAATACAGTCGGCTTCTATTTTGCTTACAAATTTACATTTATATTTCATGTCAGGAGGATGTCCTAAGGCGCTTAACAATATGGCTGGACACTCGAGCTGGGGGAGGGAGTTGAAGGGGGTGGGGAAAAATTAACCAAAAGCGCAGACAAAGAGATAGGTCTTGAGAAGAACGTTAAACAAAGTGAGGGAGGGAGCAAGTCGTAAGGACTCTGGGCTGGAGTTCCAGAGAGCGAGGGTAGATAGGCTGAAAGCCTGACAGGAAGCCACACGGGTCGGGTGGGGAACATGAAGCCCATTGAGTGAAGAGAGTAGCCAGGAGTCTCGGTCTCTGGCTTTCATTCACTGTCCGACTGGAAGAAAGTGTTGCCATGCAGTTTATTCATTGAGTAATTTTATTCTCAGGGTTAGTAGTGCATCCAGCAGAACGTTCACTGCTAGGACCTTTATTCCTCTGCTCACTGACCAATATGCTTTGTCTCACAGAGCCATGCTGTGGCAGTGGATAAGAGTGCGGAGGCTGTGGCCCTCACACGAGAAAACGCAGAGAGGTAATGACACGTCTGTCACGTTTGGCTCACAAAATTCACAGTCACTCCAGTTTACAATATATTCTGTGAGGCGCTTTGATATGAGGCGCTACATACGTGGAGTCCTGTAGCTCAGGTGGAGTCCTGTAGCTCAGTGGTTAGAGCACTCGCTTTGCAAGCGAGAGACCTGGGTTCAATTCCAGGCAGAGGGCAAAACCTTGGGCAAGTTTCCTTACTCCACACCCTCCAATCCCTCCAAAACCAAAAACAATAATAAATTGGTCATTTTCAATCTACGACTGTTTGTGGGACATTGCTGTGCGCAATTGGCTGCCGCGTTCGCCCACAAATATACAGTCAATTCACTTTACAGTGTGTTCTGTGAAGCGCTTTGGGACGTCCTCCCGACGTGAAAAGCGCTATATCAAATGCAAGGATTATTATTATTATATAATTCAAGGATTATTATTATTTTTATTATTATAATAGAACACGATGATATGGGTTTAGACTTGCAAAAACAGGACAATCACATTTCAACCTTCGGGCACTTACACAGTGACAAACCTGTTGATCAGCTTATCTGTTTGGGCCAACTTCACTCTGTCATGCAATTACACACCAGAGGTCTGTTTGCTCCTCAATGTCCGAATAAATTCAGGAAAATGCTTGCTCCCAAGCTGTAAATCAGACAGCGGAAAACAGCAACAAATAATAATAATCCTTACATTCGGTACAGCGTCTTTCACTTGGGAGGGCATCCCAAAGCGATTCACAGGTTATACTGTGAAGTGACTGTGTTTGGAAAGGTTTGGTAAATAACAAAAGCAAGTTTCTAAAGTCAAAGGGTCTCATTCAGCCACTGGGCTTTTTGGATTTTGAGTAGACAAGCGAAGTAGGGACATTTCAAGATTTCTCAACATTACACAATCAGCCACCCACGCTTTTCTTGTATCCTGACTGAGGGTAACCTACACCACTGAACTGCGGAAATCTGTACAATTCTTTGAGTAAGGAGTTTATACTCTGGTTTCCTTTTTGGGAAGATAATGGCGAGAGGCAGAATTGATTCAATCTCAAAAAGCATAAGACGATTTCAAAAGGCTTTACTCTTCCACTTTATACACTCCAGATTCCAAATGTCCAAATATAATAATGATAATAATCCTTGTATTTGATATAGCGCCTTATCATGTGGGGTTCTGTAGGGGAGTGGTTAGCGCACTCACCGCAGAAGTAAGCGAGAGGACCTGGGTTTGATTCCCAAGTATAGCCTAGTAGGAAGTAGGAACCTGGTTGTTAGTCGATTGGCGGATCGCTTTATGGCATAATAACCCCTCCAAAAAAAAACATTTGTGGGACATTGCAGTGTCCAATTGGCTGCCGCGTTTCTCCCACAAAATACACAGTCAATTAACTTCACAGAATATTCTGCAAAGCGCTTTGAGGTGTCTCAACAATGCATGTCAATGCAAGGATTATTATTATAGTGGTATTATTATTAAGGCCAGCCAACCTGCGCTTCAAACCTGTGGGTTTAGGCGAGCAGGGTGTGTTCCTCCGCTGAGAAAGTGCACATTCCATTACAGACACAGGAAATTTCCATGTATACGTGGCACCCCCAACCTGTTTTGGATACTCTTAACCATGGCGATGGGTTGCCATGTGTATCAGACACACATCTGAAAACCAAAAACAAATCTGAGAATGCGTCATACTGCCGCTCTTCCACAGAAATGTAAAAAAATCACAATGCTGATCCCGCCCTGGGCTCCGAAAATACCAATTCATTAAAAACCATGGAGACAATTAAAGATCAGTAAAAAATGGCCTGCTTCATTTGACGCAAGCGAAAGGACCCAGGTTCAATTCCCGAGCGTGGCAAAACCTTTCCTTATTCCACACGCCTCTGTTTACTTAACAAGTAAATAGTAACGCGGTTGTTAGTCGATTGGCAGATCACTTTCTGGGGGTAATAACCCCTTCAAAATAAAATAATAAAATAAATAAAATAATCCTCTCAAGTCCCTCCTCTTCAACCATGCCTTCGGCCACCCTCTTACCCTACGGCCCTCCACCTCCCTTATCCCAACCCCTCCTCCCTGCTCGGGTCAAATCCCTGACTGTCCAGCACCTTGGGATGTCCTTCCGCCTCGCCCTCTCCCTTCCTACTTTAAATGCCGCCTAAAGACTTACTTCTTTAACCGTGTTTTTGTCACTTCCTCACCCCAAACCACACACTCTTTAGCACCCCTCCAGCCAGCCGTATAAAGCACTTTGAGACATCTTCCTAAGGTGAAAGGCACTGTGTAAATCCGTCTTGTATTTTCACAGGTTGTGCGTTCAACACAGAGTTCGCGAATACCAGCTCGATGTAATATCAGGTGTGTAATTCATCCACCGTAGGACGAAGGTGCTGAAATCTGCTCTGTATCTTGTGTTAATTTGCTTTGTCCCAGATCCCAGCCTCTCACTGTTCACCCAAGACCCCTGAGGCTGGCTGCTCGCCTCTGCTCACTCTAACCAGTGCACATTCCCAACCCTTTCTTCAGCCCTCAGCTTTCCACTCTGTGTAGCCTCACCTGCTTTCCTTCACCTCCATAACATTGTCTCCCTCTGTCCCTACCTCACCCCAGTGCAGCCAAAACCCTCATTTACTCCTTTGTCACCTCCAGACTTAATTTCTCCAATACTCGCCTCTGACCCTCCACAAGCTCCAAATTACCCAGACTGACACAGTTTCACAAGCCCATCAGTCCTGTAGCTTGCAGAGCTCAGTGGTTAGACCCCTGGTCTTGTAGCTTGGTGACTAGAGCATTCACCTTGCAAGCGAGAGATCAATTCCCAGGCAAGGCAAAACACTGGCCAAGTTTCCTTACTCCACACGCCTCTGTTTACCTAGCAGTAAGTAGGAACCCTGTTGTTAGTCGACTGGCGGATCGCTTTCCGGGGGTAATAGTTCCTTCAAAAAAATAATAAATAATAATGAATTGATCGCTCAATCCACGACTGTTTGCAGGACATTCCCATGCCCAATTGTTTACCATGTGTCGCCCACAAAATATACAGTAAATTCACTCTACAATATGTTCTGTGAAGCGCTTTGAGACGTCTCGAAGACGTGATAAGGCGCTATATCAAATGCAGGGATTATTATTATTACCACCATCATCCTCACCAGGCTCTACTGAATTCCCTGACCTACAGATGATCAACTTCAAGAATCTCATCCTTACAAATCCCTCTGTGTACTCGCCCCTCCCTACTTCTGTGACCCTCCGCCACTCCCTGGGGACCTCCCTCACACTGCTCGGTGTCGGACTCTGTCTCTGTGAAGCGTTTTGTGAGGATTGAAGGTTCCCACCTACTCGCCAGGATTTTCCATTGTAGACCTGGAACCAGCTGTTTGCTAGTTTGATGTGTCGCAGACCTCCTGTCAGCTGTTTACAGCGTGTGAGCTGCTCAGTTTACTTTTTGCCTCCCGCTCGAGTTCAGAAGTTCCAAGCACAAATGTTTCCACATTCTCACAAAGTGGCATGATGTCAGTAAGCACAGATTACCAGCTGCCAATGTGCTGGGGGGTGGGAACTATTTGTTATTTGATGAGATTGTGACTGATATCCTATCGTGCACTGACAGAATCAACCCATCTGAGAAATTTCTTATCTTTGACGTAGAACGTTTCGTTTTATTATTGTTCTGATTGGTACCTTATCAATAGCGCTCACGCACACAATGGCTTTCACTTAGGAAGCTGACTCAGACTGAATGAGAACCTGAGTGGGAAATTAGGGGTTTGGAGGGGGATGACCGGAGTCGCAATCAGAGAGATGGGTTTTAGTTTTATCAGGACTCAATTGTTTCTCTTCGAAATAGTGCTAGGTGTCAGCCTGGCTCAGTCAGCAGCCCTCTCCCCTCTTAGAACAACATCAACAACCACAACTTGAACTTATATAGCGCCCTCCACGTAGGGTAGCGTCTCAGAGCCCTTAACAGTGGCTGAGCCTGACCCTGAGCCGGGGAGGGGGAGTTGGCCGTGCATTCTAAGATGATAGTCCTGTGCAGTGCTGGGGGTAGCGTTGCATTGTTGGAGGTGTTGTCCTTTGCATGTGACGTCAGACTAAGGCCCCATCTGACGCCAATAACTATTGGAAAAGAGAGAAGGGTTTTCCAAGTGCCCACTGGACAACAATCCCCGAGATAAAAATTGCCCATTCACTTCCTGGCTATTTGTGGGGCATTGCTGTGTGCATATTGGCTGCTGGGTTTGCCTATAAATACACAGTCACTGAACTTTACAGTAAATCCTGAGAAGCATTTTGCAACACTATGACAGCGAGATTTGGCACTGTGTCAAATTCAAAGATTATTTGATTATTATTTAACTTTGGGACAGGGCGTCCCAACTGCTTGTTTCTGTGACACTAATAATAACTTTAATTAATAGTGTCACACAGGACATTTAACCTGCACCCCAGTGCTGCCCTTAATGTCAATCTCGACTGTGGGCTCGAGTCCACACATGGAGCAAGATTAGAGACCTGCATTTATAGGCATATTTACGAGGATCTTATAACAGGGCCAGCCTGTATTAAATCTTCTATCTACCCCTTGCGCACTTTGTGGAGTGGCTCGTTCATTCTCTATATCTCGCCCACAAAATACACACTCAATCCACTTTACAGTGTACCCTGTGAAGCTCTTTGAGATGTCTCAACTACCTGAAAAGGCGCTCTATCAAATGGAAGGATCATTATCATTATTAATATGCTATTACATCTTCAGTCCTGAAGTCAAGATAGCTGCAGTCTCTGAAGTCTGCCTGTCTCACCAAGTCTCTGGTGAACTCTGCCCGAGAGCTGGAAGTTCTGACATAGGAAAGCGAATACTCCACACTGCAGAGATTTTTCGAGCATCTTAGAGACTGTAAATGTCACTCTTGATTATAGTAAAGCTCCACGGAATCCCAAGCCTCTTTGTCCAATGCTTTTTATAAGCAAAACACTGACGAAGTACTCAGGCCTCTCAGCAACCTGTTCCAAGCACGAAGAAGTTACCAGAATAGAACAATTCTTGGAATCGACCCCTCCCATTCCTGGGAGGCAGTGCTGTGGGATTTGAGGTTTCTCTTGTTTGCTGTTTACTAGCATTACTTTCATTCCAGTCAAATTTCAGTTGGTTTATTTGCTCTACAATAATACCAACAGTCCTTGAATTTGTTCAACGCTTACAACATCGAGACATCTGCATAAAAACCTTTCGCCTATGGGATACACAGTCAATCCCATTCATAGTTTAATCTGTGAAGCTCTTTGAGAAGTCTCAATGACACTAAAAAGGCGCTATACCAAATGCAAAGAATATTATTATTCTTAAGTGCTTCACAGATGATTACAATACAATTTACATTTGTATTGTGTCTTTCATATCAGGAGCATGTCTCAAAGCAATTTATCCCTGTCGAGCCTAGTGACTGTATTTATAGGTGATCACGGCAGTCATTTTGCCCACAGCAATACCCCCCAATTGGCCATGAAGTGAGTGATCAATTTTATCCGGGGGATTTTCGGCTGGGACGCCAGGAGAAGCTCCTGTCGCTTTCCGAATAGTTTCACGGGATGTTTAATGTCCATTTGAATAGGCAGAAGGGACCTCAATTTAACATCTTACTCAAAGGACGGCACCTCTGACACTGCTCCCCCAGCACTGCACTGGAGCAGACTGTGAGCTCAGAGTCCTAACGCAAACTTCTGACTCTGAGGCGAGCGTTACTGACTGAACCAGGCTGACGTTTGACCTCTATACTTACGAAGCTCGTTTACAGGCAGACTGAAAACGTAAGCTGTTTAACAACTGAATTGATGGGGAATGCAAAGCAGTTCTGAGAATCTGCTTTCAGTTGATTGAAGAAGGGATTTTCTGGTGTTAATGGCACTCTCAAAATTGTGTTTTCGCTTCACAGATTCCCAGGAGCTGGCTACAGTCTGTGGTCCAGTGGACGCGATTGTCAGTAACCCTCCATATGTGTTCCACGAGGATATGTCTGAACTGGCGGCAGAGATACTGCGGTAAAGGCAATTACACACACATCTCGCCTCGATGTAACCCTGTGAATTTCTTTACAATTCAGTTGCAAAAATACCTAGCACTGGCTAGGGAAGCTGGGAGCCACCTTATCATTACAGGGTTCATTACATTACATTACATTACCAATTGGTGCAGAGTTCTGTTTAGGGTCTAAATTCAGCACAGATTAATTAGATCAAAGCCCGTCTCTCTCTCTCGCTCTCTCTCTCTCTCTTTCTATGTATATAAGGCATCACAGTCCCGTGTGAAATAACCACCTCAACACAGTTCCTGATTCTCACTGGCCCTGGGCTGCACATTTCAGAGTTCGGCCAGATTGGGGTTGGCATTCGAGCAGGGTTCCTGCTCTGTAGCACAGGAATCATTGCTTCCTGACCGACCCTCCTCCCAGTCTGGCAGATCGCAGGCTAATTTGGTTGGGGCCTTGCTATTAGCAGCCCATCAAGTGTTTAACCCCAGGATGTGTTCCATTCGCCTCCTTCCGCCCACCCTTTTAAAGTCCGTCTCAGGAACTTCCTCTTTCTCCGTCGGTCAACTTTCCCCTCCCCGCTCCCCTCGGCTCCAACCCTCAGTTCAAGTGCTTAGCCAGGACTGTCAATCATCTTGGGACAACCTCCCACCATGAAAGGCGCTGTATAAATTTAAAATTGTATCATCTGGAGTCTGAATGGGGTGGTGAGGTGGAACCCATTATTTGAATAACCAAAGATATCAGACTTCAGATGATTACAGTCGCTCTCACATAATAATACTAATAATCCTTGCATTCGATATAGCCAGCGGCTTTCCAAAGCATTGAGACGTCTCAAAGCGCTTCACAGAACACACTGTAAAGTGAATTGACTGGATATTTTATGGGCAAAAACATCAAAGCGAGAGCTGGATGAGGACACCTTAAACCTGTAGACACTTTCACAAGATCCCATTGTCAGTAAAACAGGGAGCACTTATAGCAAATAAGTGTTTTATCAAAACCTGTACCGTGTTAGGCAACTCATTATCATTAAGTTGTTCAGTAGCCGTGTTGATAATAGCTCTCTCAATCCCTGCAGATACGAAGACCTTTCAGCTCTGGATGGTGGCACAGAGGGAATGGATGTCATTAGAGCCATCCTGCAGTTAGCACCTACAGTTCTCAAGCATCACGGGTGAGCACAGATCGAGATTTCATCCGTTCACAACAACAACAGCAGCAAAATTACATCAGGAGGACGTCCCAAGGCGCTGGACAGTCAGGGGTCAGGATTCAAGCATGGGGGAGGGATGAGGGAAGGCAGAGAGTTGGGAGGGCGACCGAAGGCACGATCGAAGAGGAGGGTTTTGAGATAGGCCTTAAAGGAGACAAGGGAGAAAGTGAGGCGAAGGGACTGTGGGATGGAGTTCCAGAGTATGGGGGCAGAAAGCCCGCCACGGATGATAGGGCGAATCGAGCGGGAGACATGGAGTAGGCTGGAGCCCGCTGAATGGAGGGAGCTGGCAGGTTGGTAGGTGAGGACGAGGATCTTGAATTCGATCCTCTGAGGGATGGGGAGCCAGTGGAGTCAGGAGAAGGTGGGAGTGATGGGGTCACGGAGCCTGGTGCGCAAGCTGCAGAGTTTTGGATGATCTGCAGCTTGTGAAGGGAAGAGTTGGGAAGGCCGAGGAGGAGGGAATTCCCATAATCGAGCCTTGATGTGACGAATGCGTGGGTAAGGGATTCAACAAGTTCCCAAAGTTAACGCACGTGTCAACCTGACTCAGTCAGTAAACACTTTTGATTCGGAGTCAGAAGCTTTCGGTTTCTAGCTCCAGGTTAGGACTGTGAACTCACTAACAGTCTCTTGCAGTGCTTGGGCAAGCCCTGCATTGTCGAGACACGTCTTTCAGATGAGACATTAGCTGAGGTCCTGCCCTGTCCATGTTTATTCAAGTAGATGTGAAAGGTAAAGAGAAGGGTTTTTCATGTGGTGTCATGATCAACAGTCCCTCAGATAAAATTAGTCACTCACCTCATGGATGTTTGGGGGCTGTTGCTGGACGCAAATTGGCTGCTGTGTTCACCTAATCACTTAACATTAATTACATTTTTGACATTATAGGTCCTATGTCAAATGCAAGGTTATACAACAACAGCAGCAAAGTTACATTTATAGAGCACCTTTCATATCAGGAGGACGTCTCAAGGCGCTGGACAGTCAGGGGTCAGGATTCAAGCATGGGGGAGGGGAGGCGTGGGGGAGGGATGAGGGAAGGCAGAGAGTTGGGAGGGCGACCGAAGGCACGATCGAAGTGCGCTTATTGTGATCAGAAATGTAATTTTATGATTAAAATTATGCGAGCATTTTGACCACAGAATACACAGTCAAACCGCTTTACAGTAAATCCTGTGAAGCGCTTTGAGACGCTTTGAAGCGCTTTGATGACATAAGAATAATAATCCTTGCATTTGATATAGTAATATGTAATATAATTATTACATCATTGAGATGTCTCAAAGCACATCACAGAATATACCGTAAAGTGAATTAACTGTATTTTGTGGGCAAAATGCGGCAGCCAATTGAGCACAGCAGTGTCCCACAAACAGTCGTGGGTTGATTTTATTTTTGAGGGATTATTACCCTCTGAAAGCGATCTGACTATCGATTAACAGCCAGGTTCCTACTTACTGCTTGGTAAACAGAAGGTTGTAGGGTAAGGAAACTTACCTAAGGTTTCGCCCTGCCCGGGAATCAAGCCCGGAACCTCTCGCTTGCGAGACAAGCGCACTAACCACGACACTACAGGACTCCACATGATAAGGAACTATGTTTATCAAATGCAAGGATTATTATCATTGTTGTTGGATATTTGGAATCTATAGCAAATCATTGTATGCTTTTCAACCTTTTTGAGATTGAATCAGTTCTGCCTCTCGCCCTTATCTTCCCAAAATGAAACCAGCATGTAAAGCCCATACTTAGAGATTGGTACAGATTTCTGCAGTTCAGCAATGTGGGTTCCCCTCAGTCATGGGGCAAGCAAAGAGTGAGTAATGGCTCATATGTCGAATTGAGCAACGTTGAGAAATCTTGGAATGTCCGTACATTGCGTGTCTATTCAAAGCCAAAAAAAGCCCAAAGACCAAATGAGAGCTTCTGACTTAAGAAACTTACTTTTGTCATTGTAGCGATTTAAAATAATGGCTGAATGCTGACGCTGGTTTGGTTTGGGGACCAACAAGAGGCGGTTGTTTCATTATTAAAGTGCCAAAAAAGGATGTCATAACCCGCATATGTTGTTTAATCCTACCAGGATATGGAGAGGATAAACTAGATTGTACAGAGTGTTCCTGTCAACAATACCCGATCCAAAATAAATAGTTTATGTGTGCGTGTGTTGATGCCTGGAGTGTATAACTCCTCCGCAGACACTGATTAACAGGTTCTCAATAACCATCAGTGAGGCTGTTGCCAGTATTTCTGTAACATTACATTTTTTTTATCCCCCGCTTGCAGATTCTCAAACTCGTTTTATTTTCTCTACGCCATTTGCCTAATTGGGGTGACCAACCATTAGACCTTTCGTCAGCCTCGTTCTTATTTCTGCTTCTCTTCACCGACTAAACTGAGGTCCCGTCTGCCTGTTCAGATGGACGATAAATAACCTATGGCACTACTCAAAAAGAGAAGGGAGTTTCTCCCAAGTGTCCTTGTGAACAATCCCCAAATAAATCATTACATTACATACAACAACAACAAGATTTCATTTATAGAGCGCCTTTCACGTTGGGAGGACGTCCCAAGGCGCTGGTCAGTTGGGTCGGGACCCGAGCAGGGGGGAGATGGTCAGGGTGAGGGGAGGGAAGGGAGGGAGCGAGGAGGGGGTAGAGAGTCGAGAGGAGAGCTGAAGGCACGGTCGAAGAGAATTAAATATGTTGCAATACATCAAACAATTTGCCCACAAAATGTACAGTCAATTCACTTTACAGTATATTCTGCGAAGGACATTGAGACGTCTGGACGACATGATAAGGGTCTATATCAAATGCAAGGATTATTATTACTATAAAATTGGATACTCAATTCATGGTTGATTGTAGGAAATTGCTTTGTGCAAATTGTTTGCCGTATTTGCCTACAAATACACATAATCACTACACTTCACAGTAAAATCCAGTGAAGCACTTTGTAAAGTGCATGTGGTGGGATTAACCACAGATTGAGATTGTGCAGGATTTATTAAATCCTACAGGAGCTGCCCAGAACGGCCCCCGCCTTCTCTGTTTCTGGGCAATCTCAATCTAGTCCCACAACTGCAAACCTGACCTCCGTACTCCTCCACCCCTCCTTGTGAGGCTCGTGTTTGGGAGGGGTGGGGGGAGGTCTCTGGCCTGCATCCCACCCCTCTGACCGTTTAATGTCTTGCCTTTTACTTTGACATCCTAGATGAGAGCAGATCGGTTACCCGATCGGTGCCAAATATTTCATACCCTTCAACAACTTATTTCTCTACAAAGTGCCCAAGTCGTGTGCAAGACTTGAACGCAGCGAGCAGTGAGCAGGCCTGTTCCTGCACCTCATGCACATTCCTTGGAAGGAAACACGATGTCTGATTGGTGATCCTTCCCTGAACTTTGCCTCCTGCAGCTTTTCAATACCCTACAAGGCAAGGTTAGAGGCACTGGCTCACTAGCCAGTACTCTTGCCTCTGAATCAGAAGCTTGTGTGTTCAAGCCCCATGTTGGGATTTTGAAAAGCGATGGACTTGGAAGTCCCTTTGAAGTCGAGACAGGCAGATAGTGGAGCCTGGCGAGGATGGGAGCAGTGGGCATACAGAGTATATAATAATAATAATCATTGCATTTGATATAGCCCCTTATCACGTCATTGAGACGTCTCAAAGCGTTTCACAGAATATACTGTAAAATGAATTGACTGTATATTTTGTGGGTGAAACGCGGCAGCAAATTGCAGACAGCAGCGTCCCACAAACAGTCGTGCATTGAGTAACTAAATCGACTAAAAAACGGGTTCCTTATTACTGGCAGGTAAACAGAAGCGTGTGGAGTAAGGAAACTTGCCTAAGGTTTCGCCCTGATCAGGGAATCAAACCCGGATCCTCTTGCTTGCGAGGCGAATGTTCTAACCACTGAGCTACAGGGACACCAGTTGTGAGATGGGTGAGAAAGGATAATCAGCAACTAATTTTTTCCCCTGTATAATACACACTTTCCCCCATGTAAGTTCATGGCCAGTTTCACTAACCTCACCTATAAAATGCCCGAGGTTAAGAGCAGGAAGCTAACGTTGCTGGATTTTTAGTTTATGGAACAGTGGAGAAACAATCTGGTAGCCTGTAGGGAGGGTTTGCCTCAGACTTGTATAGAAAAAATAGGTTATTGGATCACGCAGAACACCTAGTGTGGTCTGATATACTCTTTATAATCATTTTCTACTGTCCTATGTTCCTGTGACACATGAGCAGCCTAGGCAGGGAGTGTGGATGTAAGCAGGAACTTTTTAGGACTGAGCTAAATCCAAGGTGATGCACCAGGCAGCATAAGATCAGAATCGATTCTCCACCGTGCTATTCTCCACCAGCATCTCGGAACTCTTAAAGCGTCTTAATAATAATAATAATAATAATCCTTGCGTTTGATATAGCGCTTTTCACGTCGGGAGGACGTCCCAAAGCGCTTCACAGAATATACTGCAAAGTGAATTGACTGTATATTTGTGGGCGAACGCGGCAGCCAATTGCGCACAGCAATGTCCCACAAACAGTCATGGATTGAAAATGACCAATTTATTATTATTGTTTTGTTTTTTTGGAGGGATTATTATTAGGTGTGTGGAATAAGGAAACTTGCCCAAGGTTTCGCTCTGCCTGGAATTGAACTCAGGTCTCTCACTTGCAAAGCGAGTGCTCTAACCACTGAGCTACAGGATGTTACATTTATTGTACTGTTTTTGCATTGCTGGTAACAATGCAATAAATTTAAATTAAATTATAAAGTTGGTATAAAATGCAAATTTCCCCACCTTAACATGGCCAAACAAAAATCAATTCGGATACAAAAATGTTGTTTAGTGAGCAGCAACGAGTGGTTAGGCATTTCAAGAATAAACCAGTCAAGTGTCTTAAAAGAGCACAAATTATATATGTTAAGAACCTCAAAATAACTAAA